AATACTTAAATCTTCAGGTAATTATTTACATTACTTAGATCAAACATAGGATTCAAAAAAATAATTCAAAATTTTTTGTACACTATTAAGAATGAAAATACATTTAAGATACCATATTAGGGTGTAAAATGTAATCAAAGTGACTGATTTTTCCTGTTGTGATTTCCTTGTTCTACTTACACTGTTACCTTCAACCCATCCTAATAGCACATCATAAAATGACCTGTTTCTCATCCTTTATTGTTTATTACATTTTATTTATTACATTTACCATTTTGATCCATCTTGAGTTTTGATATATCATATGATACCTCAATTTTTAAAAATGATTATTAGTTCCCTACCCCATTGACCTGTGATGCCTCCTTATCAGATTTTTATGTATACTTAAGTCTGTCCCAAGACTATTACGTTTAATTTTTATGTCTATTCTTACACTAGTATCACTTTAATTATTGAAGTATCATATTCTGGTTTTTTAATTTTTTTGAGACAGGGTCTCTCTCTGTCACCCCGGATGGAGTAGAGTGGCATGATCTTGGCTCACTGCAACCTGTGCTTCCCAGGTTCAAATGAGTCTCCCTCCTCAGCCTCCAGGGTAGCTGGGACTACAGCAGTGTGCCACCATGCCTAGCTAATTTTTATATTTTTAGTAGAGTCAGGGTTTCGCTATGCTGCCCGGGCTGGTCTTGAACTCCGGAGCTCAAGCAATCCTCCTGTCTTGGCCACTGAAAGTGTATGGATTACAGGCCTTAGCCACTGTGCCTTGTCTAATATTGTTTTAAATGTTACAATAAGGGACATTCTCTGAACAAACACTATCCCCTCTTCTTCAGAATGTTCTCGGCTATTTTCATCTACTTATTCTAGAATCTAGGCAAACTTTAATTTACTTCCCAGGCAAAAAATCCTTTCAGAATTTGATTGGAACAATATTAAATATAGAATATTGAAATTAATAATTAGTATATACTATTAAAGGTTATTAAATAAATTTAGAAAAAATAGAAATCTTGACAATATACAGTAAGTAGGGATTAAGTAGATTACATATCCTTTTATTTTGTTCTATGTCTCTAAGTTTTACTGTTTTCCTTGTGTGGGTCCTATAAGTGTTTTAATAAAAATTTTTCCAAGGCATTTTATATTTGTGTAAGATTTAAAAAATATATTTGCTAACAGATTGATTCTATGTAAAATAAGAATGGATTTTTCCACTTAATTTGCCCATTCACTTTCTCATTAAAGACAATAGTAAGAAGGCAGGGGAAAGGTAGAACAGAGTTCGATCTGTAAGTGACTGTAATCAACTGAGATAACTCAGTATCTTGGACTAGCCTGCCCACTAGTTTCGATATTTTTCTATTTGATTACCTTGAGGTTTCTAATTAAATAATTTAACAGAGCAAATAACATGATTTTGGCTCCTTCCTTTCCAACAGTTATTATTTCATTCACTAAATATTCATTGAGCATCTACTGTATGCTGGGCATAATACTAGATAACAGGAATAAATATACAAATATCCCCATCCTAGTGGAGCTTACATGCTAGTGAGGGATGAAAAATAACTACAACAAGTAAATGTAGTATGTGAGAAGGTAATAAGTCCTATGGAAAAGTAGTGAAGAGTAAGGGAGACAGAAATGCAGGAGGTGGAGAGCTGTACAATATTAAATAATAAAATGATCTGCTTAGGTCTCCCTGAGCAAAGGCCTGAAGGAAGTGAGTGCCACATATATATGGTGCTCTCACTCACTATATATATAAATGGGAGAGAAGCATTTGAGGCAGACAGAACAAAAGCTCAAAAGAAGGAGTGTTTCTGGGCAGTGGCTGAATGGGAGTGTGCCCAGAATAAAACAGTAAGTAAAATAAAGGGGGCATCTGATTGTTCTGGACCACTTACATCTATTTTGGTTTTGGATTTTTTTTTTTTTTTTTTGAGACAGAGTTTCTCTCTCTCTCTCTCTGTTGCCCAGGCTGGAGTACAGTGTGGCACAATCTTGTCTCACTGCAACCTCTGCTTCCTGGGTTCAAGCGATTCTCATGCCTCAGCCTCCCGAGCAGCTGGGACTACTGGTGTGTGCCACCATGCCCAGCTAATTTTTTGTGTTTTTTGTAGAGATGGGGTTTCACCATGTTGTCTAGTCTGGTTTTGAACTCCTGACATCAAGTGATCCACCCACATCGGCCTTCCAAGTTCTGGAATTGCAGACTTGAGCCACCATGCCTGGCCACTTGTGTCTGTTTTATATTTTATTGCATTAGCCATAAATTCAAGAACAATATTAAAAATAGTGAAAAAAGGTCTCCTTAACTTGTGGTAATTTTTTAAATTATTTTTTTCTTTTATTTTTAACTTTATTTTTAACCTCTGGAAGAAACTTGTAATAATTTTTAATAGGAATACTTTTACACTTTTGTATTGATCACTGATTTAATATTTATCATATTTTAAAGCTATATATGAATTCACATTAACAGGACAAAGAACATGGGCATAAGGTATACTAAAATGGACAATAAAGCTTTTGACTAAAACCCCAGGGAAAGCTGTGGCATATCATGAATACAAATGTGTTAGATGAGATGAGAAAGCATGTATTGTTGATGTGAAAACGTATGCTATAGCAATCTGGTACACTGTGAGCCTCAGTCAGAGCTGGCTCAGGCACAGAGTGGTGCTGATGCTGTAGGAGCTCTGCAGGCTGTGCTGGTAATAGTGCCCAGCTCATCTCTGGGCTTCAGTGTCCTGGACTAACTAATGAGTATTATAGTGGGGGTGAGAAGGGGTGTGAAGTAAGAGAAGAGAGCAGCTTTACGGCCACACAGGGCCATTACTGGTGGAAAGGGAGGCCTTAAGAGGAGGTGAGGATCACAGTTGTGAAGCAGTAGAGATTTTTGAAAACTCTCAGTTCTTGTACATTTCTGCCCAGGGCCAACCCTATCACTTTAAGTTGAAACAGGTGTCGCAGGAGGCACTACTCAAGCAAGGTTCACAGGTGCCTCCATGGTTTTAAAATAAGTTCATAAATTCTTAGACATTCTTCTCACAAAACATAAAGACTAATTTCCTTTCCTTTGAATATGGGGCAGTTTCAGTGGCTCACTTCTAACCAAAAAATTGTGATGGAAGTGATGCTGAATGACTTCTGAGGCTAGCTTGAACAAGACAATGCAGCTTCTACCTGGTTCTCCCTCTCTTGCTGCCTGTCACCAGCCCCTCCACACACATTAGGCACCCTGAACTAACATGGACATGGAATAAGCCTAGCAACCCTGATACCACCATGCAGGAGAAGTCACATGGCATGTCCACACAGTGATGAAGAGGCCTGTGGAGCCTCTGCTCTGCCAGTCTCCAGTTAGTTACCTGAGTCTTCCCAGTATCAACTGCTGGACACTAAATTAAAGTTGACCCTTGAACAACAGGGGTTTGAACTGAGGGGAGTCCATTAATATGCAGATCTTCTTCCGCCTCTGCCACCCCTGAGAAAGCAAGACCAACCCTTCCTCTTTTTTCTCCTCCTCAGCCCACCCAATCTGAAGACACGAATAAGACTTTTATGATAATATTTTTCCACTTGATGAATATATTTTCCTAATAACAATTTCTTTCTCTAACTTAATTATTAGATTAAAACAGATAAGACATACAAGACAAAATATGTGTTAATGAACTTTATGTTATTATTGATAAGGCTTCCAGGCAACAGTAGGCTATATGTAGTTAGGTTTTGGGGGAATCAAAAGTTACAGGCAGTTTTTTTATACCAATGTATTTACTCTCCTAAATATCCAATGGAAATTTATAAGATTCCCTAATAGACACATAAGCATAATTACCACTAAATACAGATTAACCATCAATGTTAGAACTTGTATGATTCATGTAATTTGTTCCCACTAACTCCTTATTTCTCACAACAAATCTAACACATGGCAGTTTGGAACTTTTCACAATAGCAAAGACATAGAATCAACCCAAATGCCCACCACTGGTGTACTGGATAAAGAAAATGTGGTACATATACACCATGTTAACACTATGCAGCCAAATCCTGTCCTTTGCAGCAACATAGACGCAGCTGGAGGCCATTATCCTAAGTGAATTAATGCAGAAACAAACCAAATACCAGCATGTTCTCACTTATAAGTGAGAACTTATAAACATTTCACGCACATGGATGCAAAGAGGGGAATAACAGACACTGGGGGTTACTTCAGGGTGGAGGGCTGGGGGAGGAGGATGAGGATCAAAAACTACCTATTGGGCATCATGCTCACTACCTGGGTGATGAAATCATCTGTACACCAAACCACAGCAACATGCAATTTACCCATGTAAAGGACCTGAACATGTACCTCTTGAACCTAAAGTAAAAACTAGAAGAAAAAAATTTTAGGGCTCCTTAAAATGGCTCTTTATGAGACTAAAACAATTGGCTGAATTTCTATTTAAGGGTAAGATCTGTTCAAGAATGTAGAGATTTAAAATCTATTTGCCATCTGAGAACATTCTGTAGCTCTTCCACTTTTTGGAAGATGAGCCTAGTGACAGGAAAGCTCTGCAGACTTTTGACTGTGTGAAAGTTGATGCCCCAATCCCCATGTTTTTCAAGGGTCAACTGTATTCTAGTTCTCTTTGAGCAATCCCAGCTGACACCAAGCAAAGCAGAGACATGTTATCCCACCAAGTCCTGCCCAAACTGCAAATTCATGAGCAAATTAAATGCTGCCATTGATTTAAGCCACTATATTTTGGAAAAATTTGTTACGCAGCAATAACCAAAAGAGAAATCAAGATGATACTGGAGGAAGATCTATTTTTAAAGGGCTCTTAGATTTTGAGGTATGGTATATTGATATTTACAGGTTTTTGTTGAGCAGATGAGGGTAGGTCAAAATATAACTTAGGAGAAACTAGTAGTGAATAAAAAGCTTTATAACAGGATGGTAATTAAAAGGATGGGTATTGAACTCAAAACAGACAAAATTTGAGTAGAAATAACTTGTCTTTATTAAGATTGTGATCTTAGTCATGGTGTTTAACTTTGTTGAACTCCAACTAGCTCATTTGTAAACTGTGATTAAATTTATAGAATTGTAAAGATTAAGTAAACTGATAGGTATGCTTAATTAATGGTGACTATTATAGTCAGTCATTGTTATTTCTGCAGTTTCACTATCTTTGCATTCTGCCATAATAAACTGGGGTAGAATACAAATGTTCCGGCTTAGGTGAGTTACTAAGCATCCTTCTGTACAGACAATTCGCCAGTTAATCAGGACTTTCCTACTGTACCCTCTACCTTTTCTGCATTCTGCTAGAACTGTGGAAGATAAAGAAAAACATTGAATATCACACCCTGGGAAGCCAACAACTTAAAAATCCTAAACTGAGTGACATGGGAGCAAATGTCATGGGACTGCAGCTTCCCAAGTGTCTGACATAGTTCTGATCTCTAAGCTCTCTGCCAGAGGGCTACAAGGCTGTGGAAAAGGCTTCCATTACATCCCTCGCTGCTACAGAGATTTCTGCACATTATACATATCATCAGTATTTAGTAATCAATACCTTATACATGACACTCTTCTCTTGGTTCTTAAATCTGTTTTCTAAAACTGTCTGCTCTTCAAGACAAATTTTTCTCTTGGTTCTTACATCTGTTTTCTAAAACTGTCTGCTCTTCAAGACAAATTTTAATCATCTAGTTAACACACATTAAAAAGTGCTTTCAATGTAAAGTTTATAAAGAACTCAACATACAGTTCAACTAACGCTTGTTGTGTGTCTACTAGGACCCAGGCACAATCAGCTGGAAACTATCAAAGTGAAATTTAACTCAGGTAGGGTGATCTAGTATCTAGTAAGAATAACAAGACAATTCTTCTGTAATGGAGTTTTTACTAATTTTCCTATGTTAGGAGATATTTAAAATTTTTAAGACTGATAGAAAAGCAGATAATTCATAATCCTAATAAGATTACAGCATTTTAAATATATGTGTTCTAAAACAGTTCAGATAGTAGCCTCTAATAGGATGTCTCATAGTTATACAAAAAGAAGTTCATACTTTTCTGAAAGAAACTCAGGGTTCTAATTGAGAAACTGGATGATGATACACGTCAAAACAAAACCTGACATAGGCTTTAAAAGCCTTTAGTCCCACATAAATTTTGCCAAGCTTAAGATTTTTTCTTTCTATCATTTTCCACAATAATGAATATTGAGGATGTATCTGATATTTATAAGCATTAACCAGTATAAAAAGAAACAAAAGGCCGGGCGCGGTGGCTCACGCCTGTAATCCCAGCACTTTGGGAGGCCGAGGCGGGTGGATCACAAGGTCAAGAGATCGAGACCATCCTGGTCAACATGGTGAAACCCCGTCTCTACTAAAAATTACAAAAAATTAGCTGGGCACGGTGGCGCGTGCCTGTAATCCCAGCTACTCAGGAGGCTGAGGCAGGAGAATTGCCTGAACCCAGGGGGCGGAGGTTGCGGTGAGCCGAGATTGCGCCATTGCACTCCAGCCTGGGTAACAAGAGCGAAACTCCGTCTCAAAAAAAAAAAAAAGAAACAAAATATCATTGCATAATTAAGGTACTTTTTTGTTATACTTTTTCCAAATCAACATGCTTTTTCCTTAAAGTCTGATTTTTTTAAGGGCAGGACCCTGAGTCAGACCTTTGATCTTCTTTAAAGTTCCAAACACCTCCATCCCCTTTTGCTATTTGCCTCTCTCCTCTTCAACTTTCCAAAATCCCTCTGAAACTGATGTGCAAGACCCCCATGCATTGTGAGCTCACAGGGGTCTAGGCAGAGGTGAGTAGCCAGGAAAGACTGCTATATGGTTCTATGAATTATCTTCTGAAACTTGGAAGTTTATTTATCATACTTGGCCTTACACAGGACTACTCTCAATAATTCCAGTCTTTGAAGGGGCTAGAGAATGTTATGTAAAACTACTCAAGCTTCAACTTTTCATAGGTCAGAAATACCCAGGGGCTTTGGTTTTTAATGTAACTTCCTTAGATAAAAGTAAGTTTCCTTTTTCCAATCCGGGAAGTGGATGTCTGTAATACAACATAAATTACACAGTTTCTGATTTTACTGTCTAGACACCATCAACCTCCTTAACACTACCTTCTCTGTCAAAAGTCTGGGCAGGGCCCAAAAAAAACTGATGTCCAACTAAGCTCGGAAATATATTTCTTCCAACTAAAGCTGGCAGGATTCTGGTGAGCACATTTGAAGCCAACAAAAAGCAGGATTGGAAAATTAAGAATGGTTAAAAAGAAAGAGGGCAAGTACAAAACTCTTTCACAAATTAACAAGGCTCAATGGCATCAAGTACTTGGAAAGTTTCCATCTCCACCCCACCTTCTAAATAAAGTGGCATATCAGCCCTACAGACAAACACCAGAATTTTGAGAGCCTCACTATCCTTGATAAAGGCTCCATGTCCGACAGATGCAGATAATAAGCGAATTAAAGCACATGCTCAAGAGGATAGCAACACTCACCTCGATTTTTACAGGACTTTTCTGAGCTCAAAGTCATCCTCACAGGACACAAGGAAGGAAAGATTACAGTGTTGAGAAAGGAAGTAAGAAATCAGTTGCTTGTTCAGGGATGAAAGTGACAGACTGCACAAGGACTGAAAATTTGCTACCCTTCTCAGATCACCCAACTGCTTTCCTCCAAGCCCGCCGAGGAAACACTACGTTATCTGAATAATAGCAGTAGTAATAATAGTAATGGCAGCTATCACTGAGTGACTACAATATATGCTATGTGCTCCACTAGATGTTTCATATTTATTATTCTCACAATAGTATAACTTTCAACTTCTATGCCATAGAGCAGGATTCAGCAAAAGAGAGATCTGTCTTGGATCACATCTAAAGAGGATTCGTTTCTGAAATTCCAAAAGAATGGTTTTGATGATATCTTCCTTACAAATTGCACTTTAACATTATGAAGACTTTTCACATATATTTTTTTCATTTCATCTTCACAAAAGTGTTGAGTGGCAGGAATCATTACCCATATTTCATCTACGAGAAAACTAGGCCCGGGAACATGGTGAACAAAGCCACATACTCCTAAGAACAAGGCTAGGCTTAACCACAGGCATCCTGATTTGAAGTCCCGTGTCAAAGTTCAGCCTACAAAGTGGCCCCGCAGGGTAGGTCCTGAGAATACTGTGAGTACTAAACTATATTGAATATAGTCTACTCACATTCACTGAACACCTACTGCATGCTCCTCACTGTGCTCTGTGCTAGGGGCTGAGAAGTGAAAAGGTTACAGGTGCTGTGGGAAAGGAGTTCACAGATGTGTGAGAAACTATCCAAATAAGTAAGTACAATACGGAGTGCTATGTGCTGACAAAGGTATGGGGCTGTATTAGTCAGGGCTCTCTAGAGGGACAGAACTAATGGAATAGATACATACATATAAAGGTGAGCTTAGTAAGTATTAACTCACACAATCACAAGGTCGCACAATAGGCCATCTGCAGGCTGAAGAGCAAGGAGATCCTGCCCAAGTTCGAAAACCGAAGAACTTGGAGTCCGATGTTCTAGGGCAGGAAGCATCCAGCACAGGAGAAAGATGTAGGCTGGGAGGCCAGGCCAGTCTCTCATTTCACATTTTTCTGCCTGCTTATATTCTAGCAATGCTGGCAGCTGATTAGACTATGCTTACCCAGATTAAGGGTGGGTCTGTCTTCCCCAGCCCACGACCCAAATGCCAATCTCCTTTGGCAACACCCTCATAGACACATCCGGGATCAATACTTTGTATCCTTCAATCAAGTTGACACTTAGTACTTAGCATCACAGGGGAACATGATAGCTCCAGGAGTCTGGGGAGCTTCAAGGAGAAGGGGCATCTGAGCTAGGGTTAGGAGGATGAATTCAGGAGTTTAGCAAGCATATTTTTGATTATCAAGAAAGAAGCATAAAAGATTAGTGATTTGTGCAATACAAGACAGTGCCTAAGATCAAATATTTAGAAACCTTGACATACGTGAATCTGCAGGCCAGACTATATGGCATCAATTTAGGATAGATGGTTAATGCAAAAAACAAGTGAAGATATGTGAAAGAATAAAGAGGTCCTTCTGTCCTTCCTAAAGGGTACATGCTCAAAGAAAACATCATGGTACATTGAATTAACTAATTTACTTACCTACTTATTTATTTTTGAGACAGGGTCTTGCTCTGTTATCCAGGCTGGAGTGCAGTGGTGCAAACATGGCTCATTGAAGCTTTGACCTCCTAGGCTCAAGCAATCCTCCTGCCTTAGCCTCCTGAACAGATGGCACCACAAGTGTGCATCACAATGCCCAGATAGTATTTTTTTTCTTTTAAGAGACAGGGTCTCTTCACGTTGCCTAGGCTGATCTCAATCACCAGGCTTCAAGCCATCCTCCCTCCTTGGCCTCCCAAAATACTGGGATTATAGACATGAGCCATCACACCAGGCTTCAAGTTACATTTTAAAGCCAAATGAATCTATCCCAATAGTTAAATGCCATCTGCAATGACATCAGGAACAGCCAGACACTTATTTTCTAGTGCATGTCTGACTGGGGCAGGTCAGAAGTTGAGACATTCATGCTGTGAGCTGTACTGCTCCAGCAATTGCCCATAAACTTGTTGTATTAGTCTGCTTTCATACTGCTAAAAAGAACTGCCTGAGACTGGGTAATTTATAGAAGAAAGAGGTTTAATTGACTCACTCTTGAACCTGGATAGGGAGGCCTCAGAAAAACTTAAGATCACGGCGGAAGGTGAAAGGGAAGCAAGGCACCTTCTTCACAAGGTGGTAGGAAGAAATGCCAAGCAAAGGGGGAAGAGCCCCTTATAAACCACCAGATCTCGTGAGAATTCACTCAGTATCATGAGAACAGCACCGGGAAACTGCCCCAGTGATTCAATTACCTCCACCTGGTCTTTCCCTTGCCATGTGGGGATTATGAAGACTACAATTCAAGATGAGATCTGGGTAGGGGCATAAGGCATAAACTATGTCAACTGTCTACTGGTGGGCTTTTGGGAGAAGGGAAAATGGAATACACACCTGGCCCACTTGATCATGTCCATTTCAAGTCCACCTTTTATCCTATCCTTTGGCAACATCATGCCAAAGACATCAAGGTGGTATTTCTACTTTCTGAGGTTTAATATCCAAAATCCTTTCCTTTCTATTCTTTCTCCCCTTGTTTCAATCCCACCTCCCTTCCTCTGCTTTTGCCTCTGCCTCTCCCTCCATTCTCCTGCCACCCCTCCCCCAATCCTCTAGCATATGGCTTAATGTCACGGAGATGTATCAAATTTCTGAGTGGAAACTGAAGATTTTATTTCCAGTTAGTTTTTCCTCATTTCTTCTTCTCCTTCTCTCTTCCTATTTGCCCCTTTTCTTCCCGATGTCCACTCTTCCTACAGCAATAGCTTTTTACATTACATCTTACATCTCACTTAGGGTAGGAGAGATCTGTGTCTCACTCAGGGGATATAGGACAGGCCACCTTTCAACAGGAGAGAAAGGTGGTCATCATTGAATTTTAAAACTCAATTGAATAACAGATCAGAATGTGGTTTCCCCACACAAGGCACTCTTTCACAATAGGTCAGTGTTTGCATTCACTTGTTAGCAGGAGGCCAGCTACATAGGAGACACCAATCACTGCCTGCTTATTTATACGCAAGAATCTGCCTGCTGCTCTAAGCAAACCCACTCTGATCTTGGCCTCTGAAGCTACATCTGGTTGAACCAAAGTTGGGCACCTAAATTGAATTCAGTTTATTCATAGGCTAGCCAGCTACCTATCACTTGGTTGCATGCATCAAAAATTAATATGGGCCCATGAGGCTCTCCATTTAAGCATTTTAAGTTGAGAAACTGGAAATCTGAGTCAGAATGCCACAGCAGCTAGGTTACAGGAATATTAAGTAAACTCAGGTGGACCACAAGGAAGCTTAAGGTAAACCAGAGAATTGAATGAAGCAGGTGGATGGCGAGAAGAGATGGCACGAGGAGAAAGACTTCATGTTCCTAATGATTCTGTAGTTTCAATTTGAGTCTATCCTTACAATTTTCCTCCTCCTCCTTGCAGGAATATGTTTCAGTTGTTTGCAACCTAAAGAAATCCGACCAGAATGTAAAATCATTGACCTATGAACATGATTGCTCGTCTGAGTCTGGAGGTAGCTCCAGACTCAAATTCAAATGCAGTTACCAGGAACTGAAGGTTTAGTCAGTCTGAATCATGCAAAATGTTAACCAAAAGTTACACTGGCCTTTCTTGTCTGAATTTCCTCATCAACAGGCTAATCCTTGACAGAAACACTGTAAGGATTTTTTCTCTGCAAAACTACCCTCTTCCTTCACACTGAATCATCAGAAAGAAGAGCTGCCTGTGTCGCTAAATTCATTCCATATTTTAATTAACCCAAGGATGACATGGAGGCCTTGGAGACCTCCTAGTACAGTGCTGTGTGTGTTCAGCAGTAAACATCCACCCAGTGTAGTCAGGAGCCAGCATCTTTGTCATCCTTTCTTGTTAGAACAAGATTGTCCAACCCATGGCCCATGGGCCACATGTGGCCCAGGATGGCTTTGAATGTGGCCCAACACAAATTTATAAACTTTTCATACATTAGGATAATTTTTTACGATATTTTTTAAGCTGATGAGCTATTGTTAATGTATTTTATGTGTGGCTCAAGACCATTCTTCTTCTTCCAATGCGGTTCAGAGAAGCCAAAGGATCAGACACCCCTGTGTTAGAACATCAAGGTCTATTACTTTAAAGTTGTTATCCTGGATTACCAATCAGAATTTGTGTTTCCATCATTACTAAGCCTACTCTTTAATTCTCTCAGTGATCTCTGTTCTAAGAGATAAAGAATGGCAGGACTTATTAAAAGTGAGAGGTTCTGAAAATCTGGTTGGTTGATTTTAGAGTTCTATGAAGTATTCATTTCCTCTTCGCACCACCCCCTTTTGTTTACAAGTAAGTATCCCTCTGTTGCTCTCCTTCAGCACAGATATTCAGATGAAAAACATCCACAGAAATGAGCGGTGTCTTCATCTGAAGAAATGTGCTGTGCATCGCATCAATAGGAGCTCTAATTCCCCTATGGTTCAAGACACTCCAGTGACTCAAATGACCTTTCTGCCAAAGGATCTGCATCATTTCCTTTGTTCCTGTTCTGCACAATATGGAATTACAATAATGTGAATAATTTTTCTTTTACAAAAAGCAACACAAAACACAGGAAATCTATCAAAAACAGTTTTGACAATTGGGAAAATCACATTTTAATCTGTTTAATTAAACACAGTAAAATTTCTTTCCTGCCAGCAAAGAATTTTACAAATTTTTCAAAATTGGACTAAAGTCAGTTTAGTGAGCATTCCAAGAACAAGTTTGTTAAACCGAGACAGAAATGTAGCATTTAATTGATAGCTAGTTACTACAGGAGGAGGGGAGACAGATGGAAAATTAAGAGTGTGTGTGCCTCAGTAAGGCATCGTACCTCAAAATTCCTAAAAGACTAAACCTTTGCGAGGCCAAGGCGGGTGGATCATGAGGTCAAGAGATCGAGACCATCCTGGTCAACATGGTGAAACCCCGTCTCTACTAAAACTACAAAAAAATTAGCTGGGCATGGTGGTGCCTGCCTGTAATCCCAGCTACTCAGGAGGCTGAGGCAGGAGAATTGCCTGAACCCAGGAGGTAGAAGTTGCGGTGAGCCGAGATCGTGCCCTTGCACTCCAGCCTGGGTAACAAGAGTGAAACTCCGTCTCAAAAAAAAAAAAAAAAAAAAAAAAAAGGCTAAACCTAATAAACACTTTAAAATATAAATGCACACACTGGTTTTAAGTCCAGTCAGTAAAATGGCCCACTAGCACAAGGCCAGTGACCAGGGATGGTTCCAACTCTGGGCAAAAGGAAGAAGACTCAGAATGGCAGCTGGCATCAGAGGCCCCCACAGAAGGGGCCAGGCTGAGGGCACAGCCCAGCATAAGGCAGGCTGGTGTCTGGCCCAATGAATTACCAAGCAGATGTATTAGAGGGCTGGCAGTACATGGCACCAACGGGCATAGCAGTATGTTTAACAGTTTCTCTCATATGAGGACTAGAGGTCAGCCTTGGGGTCTTTTGCAGGGAATCTAGGCAGGAAACCAACAAAAGGGGTCAAGAGGTAAACCCAGTTAATGGTACCAAGGCACTACCTGAGCATATGAAATGAATAGGGGTCCTGTAGCGGCAGGACCATCAGCAGAATGATGAGGCTGACTAACAGACCTATTATTTCTTCTGCTAATAGTAAGAAGGGACCCTTTATTTCTTCTGCTAAGAGCCAGACTGCTTCCAGGGCTTGGAAGAGGGCCAAGACAGCTAGAGAGAAAGATGGATTTAAAGTGCTGACACACAGGAAATACATGATAAATGATATTGCTGTTGTTTATTGTGGGTGAAAGGATTAGCTGGGAGAAGGTAGGTAACACTGGAAGGGGCCTATGAACCTGAAAACTACATGAAGCACAATGGAGATGCATTGTGTGGTGGATGAAAGCCCAAGCAGGCGGGGCTGGATCTCAGGAAAGCATGGTAGCAGGAGTACATGACAGATGAAGTTGGGAGATAAAGAAGAGATGTGGTTGTAATGAAGAGAGAGGCAGACTACAGGGTCCAGAAGTCAGAGCTGGCCAGAGGCAAGTGCCCATGGTGCTGGAGTACAGGGGCAGGATTCTAGTCCCTCCAGTAGGGAAAGGGAATATTACTAAGAATAAAATTAGCGGTGTACAAACAGGAGCAACAGCATGGGTAATTTCCCTCTGTAACACAGGTAACACTGGTCTCATCTAAAAGCTGATACTCAGGTATTTTGCAGAAAAAGTCTTTTATTGACGTTTTACAATTTTGTGAGACAAGTTGTGTTTTTCCTTTAAGACACTTACTGGCATTTTTAATTACACACATATATTTATGATTATTTATTTCATGTTTATCTCTCCAATTAAACTACAGGCTCCGAACAGGCATCATATTTGTTTATTATTTTGCATGTTGTAAGTACTCAACAATTGCCTGTTAAATAAATAAAAGTAGTGTCACCCTTTCTTACAGATGACAAAACTGTATCAAAAGTTTTTGGCCAAGTTCACCTTGCTAGTAAGTGGTAGGTCTGAGTCTTTGGGGGTGACTAAAGCTTTCTAAGAGTAGTCTCTTTCTATTAGGATGTCTCTCTCTAAGGTTGTCAGAGCTTAGTGTCAATGTTATTGTGCAAAGGACATTGGTCAAATCTAGTCAATCCGATATATCATCAAGAATAGGCTAGTTATCTCCAGTCCATATGTAATAATATTACTATTACCATACGTACAATCCATCACTCATCATAACATTACCACTGTAATCACTGTTGGATGTTATCACAGCGTTCAGAAAACTTTGATCTTCAACGTCCTTGGGAAGACGGCATAGAGGTGTGTGTGTGTGTGTGTATGTTTTTTGTTTTTTTTGAGACGAAATTTCGCTGTGTCTCCCAGGCTGGAGTGTAGTGGCGCGATCTTGGCTCACTGCAACCTCCACTTCCCAGGTTCAAGCGAGTCTCCTGCCTCAGCCTCCTGAACATCTGGGATTACAGGTGTGCGCCATCACACCCAGCTAATTTTTGTATTTTTAGTAGAGACGGAATTTCACCATGTTGGTCAGGTTGCTCTCAAACTCCTGATCTCATGATCCGACCACCTCAGCCTCCCAAAGTGCTGGGATTACAGGTGTGAGCCACCATGCCAAGTAGAAGGCATAAAGATATTTTATAGGAAACTGAAACTTGTTAGTTGCCCAAGATGATGTAACTGAGAAGTGGAACTGAGACTCAATTCCAGGTGGAATTTCACCTGCAATGTAAGAGGAATTTTTAAAGTATTTAAAATGGAAAAGACATTGAATGTGTAAAGATACTTAAAATGTGAATTAAAATCTAAATACCAATACATGACCACTTCAAGATCAGATGATAAACTTAGTGGCAGAAATATCTCTAAGTATTCATTCACTTAGAAGATCAGAAGGATGAAAAATTATAGAATGCATAGTAACTTTTGACTCAGTTGAGTCTGATGACCTACTCCTAAAACCATGAGTTGGAGAGGAGCTCAGTACCCACATGAGACCTACATGTAGCGTGGCACAGATGCTGGGGAACTGGCCTGGCTGCCAGCTGAGGTTCAAGTGTATACCTCAATGGTCTTACCAACCTCCTGGAGTGTTTCAGGTGGAGTCAGCATAGGGGTCCAAAACACAAGAGCCATGAGTCCCAACTGCTGGACAGAATCTCAGTCTGGGCAGGCCACAGGCAGTCTGGCCACAGTCCAATGGATGGAGGTTTCCAGTTTCCAGGAAGAGAAGATACCAAGAGACAAGCACAGCCTCAATCCTTAGGGACTTGAATAACAGTGCTTTGGAAAGACAAAAAGCAAAAAAGGCAGAAAGAAAAGGGATTGATCACTGATCGAAGAACGACTCTGTGCATGGTACTTCTCAGTACCTTACCTGTATTACTGTATGCAGTCATCATAACAAAGCTATAGGGTAGTCAAAACCACCCCAACGTTATAGATGATGAAAGTGATGCTCTACTTGCTCAAGGCCACACAGCTAATAAGCACTGGAACCACAATCTGGATTTATAGCTGTCCTCTGCCGGTCCTCATGGCACATGGAAAGGAAGAGAATGCCACCTCTCAACAAGTTCCCCAGGAGTCAAGCAGTCTGCCTCCCAAGTCAGCTTAGAAGCATGTGTCTCTAGACACCTGGGTGGAGTGAGAGGCGTGCACACTAGAGGAGTGATGAAGACTGAAGTACCTCATGCTGATTCTTTATCTCAAGCAATTGTGGATCTGGGAGCAGGTGGGCAGTTCAATGACGAGCAGGGGAAAGTAGAAACAGTGGAAATGAGACTGGAGTCAACAGAACAGAAAATGTGCTGGGCTTTCATATGGCCATTTTAATAAGTGGTATGCTTTCTGAACACCTGCCATCCTGGGCTATAATATCACAACATTGTAATTTGGTTTACAAATCAGTGTACCACTTCTAAGTGTACAGAAATACTCTGTAGCATTAATGCAGGAGACTCTTTGATATTTGAAAACGCTGATTTACTGGGAAAAGCCTGAGACTTTCCACTTACACTGTTTGCTTTCCTTCTCTTCTTCTCCATCTCCTGAATTTTGCTGCCTTTGGATGAGTGGCTTTATCTTCCTCTGAGGTAATGAAAAACCCAGTGCTCTGAGATCAAACTGCCCATTTGCTCAATGGAAGTCAAGTGCCTTTGACACATGCCAATATTCTGTTGCTGCAAACAACAAAGAATGGCAACAAAAGATAAAATGACAGCATTTATTAAAGGTTTTTTTGGTCTCCTAGATAAGTAGATTTAAAATCTCTTGACAACAACAACAAAAATAAATTTAAAAACAATCTCTACAATGACCCACAGTAAGAAGTATACTTTATGCTGCAACCTACAGTATATAAGGGAACATGTATATGTGTACATGTGTATAAATGAAACAAAGGTTACATGAAACATTACCTGGCTAGATTATGGGTTGCGAATACACTCTTTTCTATATAACACTTTTCTATTATATTCCAGTTCCTTTATAAACAAACAAACAAACAAAAAAACCTGGAGTGACCTACTAGAGTAACTTTATGATCCACTTATGAGTTGAACTTAAAATTTAAATATCACCATCTAGACCTAGAGTATAAGGACAAACTCATGGTGTTATAGGAACTCCCCTAAAAAGTAAAGTAAAGAAGAGTAGGGAAGTTCTAGGATCTGCATATATACATTCTACTCCATAGACAGCACCATAAAAGCCCATGCTAAGGGTGAAATCAAGACAACCAGCATGGAGGTGATCTCAGGCTGAAAGAGCCCAATAAAAAGGCACAATTCATTAAAACAAACCAACAAGAACAAAATCTTTCTCCTGGCTAAAGGATAATTTACTCAAGAATCCCTGTAAACATTTTTGATGATCCACAATCCCACCAAGCATTATTCACAAGGAGAGCATTGTCAGAAAACTCATTTTATCCAAACCTGTGTGTGTGTGTTTTATAAAAACAGGCCAAGGGATAGTAGCTGTTACATTTGCAGAATTTCCAGTCATTAGGTTGACCTCAGGGCAGGCGAGTGTTTCAGGGAGCATGTTCTGAATCATAACTGAGCCCTCAGCTGTATTGAGGCCAACGAACTATATATCTTGTGTTTTTTTCGGCATTTACTTTCAAGAAAATGTCCTAACTTAAATCTCTATGACTCCATCCACTCACCAAGAAACTTCCTTCTGAGGACTGGACAGTTTAGAAGCCGTATTAATCCTCAGCTTTCCTGCAAACCACTGAGAGGCTTCAATTATCCAGCTCAGTGCTCACAAAGAAAAATGCAGACATGGACATGACAACTGCACTGCCTGTTTTTTCTCTTGTAATTACAGCTCTGCGTTTCACAATTTCAAGCCCTTTTCCTACAAACACACAATTTCTCCAGTCACAGCCACATACTGTTTGCTTCTATCATTAATGTCTCTTATCAGAATCTTCAAAGCACTCTTTTGGGGGGCATAGAAGAGCATAGCGTGTATAAGGGAATATATTCCACTCTTAGTACGAGGCTGCTCAGGCAGGAAAAAGGGGTCACTACTGAAAATTGGGTTCTCCATTTCCCTGCAATCACATACTGACCCATTACTAAACATCTATATATACTTTGTCAGAATGAACCCCAATTTATATGCCAGTCGAGATGTCTCATACTTAATAACACCATTAACAAGAAATATTGCTGAAATGGGTTACTTGGGGAAAAAAACTAAATTTTCTTTGGCATTCTTACATAAGGCAGGATTTCCGCTTATCTAGTGTTGCATAAGTGTGAAGGAAAGAGAGTGAAGCCAGTGATTTCCAAGATCTCTTTCAGGCCTTTCGCCAGTGATCTGAGAATGACATGAACATTATAATTACATTTTAGCACATTCTGTATCTGGATACTTGCTGGAGTTCTCTGAACCAAAGTAAGTGTTCTGAGTTTCGATCCCTACCTCAAGAGTATCTGTGGTCAAATCCTGATGTTGGACCCTGATACCTCCCAGTGTCTGTGTAGGTCTCAGCCCCCACCTGGATGCTGCTGCTTCCTACTGGGTACAACCCCTGGCAAAGGATTCAGGGAACGCTACTGCCAGCAAATCTCCCCCTCCCTGCCTCTGAAAAGTGCAAAAGATGCAAGTTTAGAATGAAAACTACACTTTATCTTAATCAACATAAACTTTCCTTAACTGTGTTAAAACTTATCACCAAAGAAGAGGTAGAATCAGCTTCTAGCAAATGGTGAAGTTGATGATCTTCTTCCTCTTCCTGTTCCCCAATCACATCTACCAGGCCACACACAGAGCTACAGACTCAACACTAGTTTACTGAATGGACAGGGGTCCAAACAGTCATGAAACCATCGCTGTAAGGAGTCAACACGAGTGACAGGAAATCAAACATGACTGGATAGAAGGTAATGCTGAGATTTTGGCCATGATTCCCAGGACCCAACTGGCCAACAGGCATGACCCTGCAGAATTTCTATAAAGAAGCTGAATGGCGCAATCCGGTTGAAAGGTTTTGCAGTGGATTTTTCACATTCATTTTTTACCATGACCTAGTGTAAGAAATTCATTTACCTACTCAGTATACACAAACACAATGTGTAAAAATAAAACAAGTTTTATGAAACAATACTTACCTGGATGATGCTATGTGGCAGTAAACTCTGACATTTCCTACTGATTCTATTACAATAAAAATCAAAGATCGGGTCATGCCCCACTAAATTGATTTCATGACCCACTAGTGGGCAGAGAGCAGCAACCAGGGAAAAAATGGTATAAAAGCCTTGTCTTGAAGCTGTGCTCTAGTCACAATTGGACTGTTTCTATATTTGGGGTGGTTTGGGGAGACTCAGAGATTAGGGAGGCCTGAAGCCTTAATAATGCTTAGTTTGAAAGTAACAAAAGACAAAAATGAAAAATCAGTGACATACCTCCCAACTGTGTATTTTTCAGAGAAAAGGGAGCTGAAAAACCAGGGTCCCTGATGGAGAACTAGAATGACATCCAGAAAGTTAGAAAACACCAAAAGCAAGATTTTTTAAATGGTTTGGGTTTTTCAAAATAAAGTACTAGATCTAAATCTCTTCACATAAAACTGTTGATCTGGAAAATATGATTATATCATAAATGGCCTAAAATATGACCCAAAGCCAAACTGTAGTTATAATGATCTTTCTTCCTGAAATGATGGTTCCCTTATGACTCGAAAAATAATTAAAAGAATAAAATGGCTATGGTTTTCATTATTTTGAAATGTCACTAAGATTAATTCATCAATTTCAGGTTTTTAAATCATTTGAGGCTAGAAATGTTTAGGTTTACCACAAGTATATCTCCGTATTAAAAAAAAAATAGCTACACCTATACCTCATTTGGCTAATGTGTACACAGCTAACTATAATAGGAAGGTTACTTTTTTATATAGGTATCTTTTTTTTTTTTGTCTTTCCTTAGAAAGCTAACTTCATGTAGTTTTGGAAGCCAAAAGTTAAATATTGGAAAACTAACAATTCAGTATCAGGAATAGAAACCAGTATATGTGTATATATATATATATATATATATATATATATATATATATATGGAAGGTTTATAAGAAAGAATTACCATGGGCAAGTCAAGACTTAGTTATAATAGAAAACACAACTTACGGCACATACCTTGTCACCATTTGCTCTCCATCTCTTCAGGCCACTGGTTCACAACTACCACCCAAAAACCTCAAATGACAGACACTGAGGAAAGTGATGTGTGATGGCAGAAAATATGTGGGTCTAGGATCCTATGCTATTTCAATGATTTTTATTTAAAGTCTTCTATAGAAAAAATTACTTATCAAATGAGCTATAAATGGTTGAGTAAGCAGAACTTTCAAAATAGATTTAGCAAATTCAACTGCATCTCGTAAAGGATTATCATTAACAAGGCATGAGTTCATATGATTAGCTAATTAAGTAGAACAAGTATAATGTCTTTGATTGAATAAAATCCAGTATTTTTTATTCATCAAACTCCAATCCCATTTCATAAATGTAAGTTATCATCAACTCCCCATCCACTTTCCCCCATCTTCTTTCCCACCCTATACTTTCTCCCCCCGTCACAACCCGGGCTCCAAAAAGAAAAAAAAAATCCCTCAGCTATTTGATCTGAATATCACTGCAAAAATCAAAACCAGTGTCTCCTGCCCCCAGGACACTGAGTATTCCCCACCTGGCTGCCTCCTGTAGCGCATGCAAAATTCAATCCATAATTATAGATGCATTCTCAGTTTAGGCTGCACTTGAGATTCAATCATGACTACAGTCAAAATGGAGAGATTTGATTAGTTTTGTCTTATTTGCCATTGACATGGATAATGTACAGATGGCCCCTAATTTATAATGGTTCAACTTACAATATTTTGACTTTACGATGCCGCAGAAGTGATATAAATTCAATAGAAACCATACTTTGAGTACTCATACAACCATTTTGTTTTCACTTTCAGTACAGTATTCAATAAATTACATGAGATATTCAATACTTTATTTTAAAGTAGGCTTTGTGTTTATTTTGTCTAACTATAGGCTAATGTAAGTGTTCTGAGCATGTTTAAGGTAGTGCAGCCTGAGCTATAATGTTCTGTAGGTTACACGTATTAAGTGTGTCAATTTATGTATTTCCAACTTAAGATATGTTTTTCATGATATAATTCCATTATAAGTTGAGGAGCATCTGTATATAACTACATACTACAGGACGACAGGTTTGCCTGATACACCCTAATGTGACAAATTATGGGCCAAGAGGGAAACTCCCCCAGCAAAGAATATACTGATTACTTATAGAACACCCCCCACCCAGAATCTAAATGTCAAAAAAAGTTCCCAGAATCTAAATAGCAACCTCAGGAAATCTTTCAGTTTCAGACTTAAAGTAGACTTTCTTCAGCTCCAGAGTGAGCTACATTGTTCCAAACTGTGCTAGTCAGGAATACAAGAAGAGGTGCCAGACCATTATGGAGCACGTGGGCAAGAGTAAGAGGAAAGTACACTTGGAAATGAGGTATCCAAAGTGGCCAAATCCCTCTAGACCCAAACAAAGAAATACAGTTATGCACATGATTCTTTCGGTGAACTTGGGATTGGTTCTGAAATTTCAAAAGATCTGAGAGGGCAGGGGTAGGCTTTTCTCAATTCTATATCTTTTCAACATTAATAAAATTAATCTTCACTAGACTGTTACCTCCATACTATTTCATCCTGTTCTCTGTATCTGGAAGGTTGCCCTTCTCTGCCTTCCCTGGTTAATTCTCACTCGATAATCGCTCCTTCTGGGAAGCCTTGGTGTGGGTGAGACACATCTCCTTGAGCTTCTGTGGGACTGGGCAGAGTTCTGTCATGAAATCTGCCTCCTGTTCTGCAAGTGTCTGTCACTGATCTGCCTCCCTCACTGGACTGGGAGGTCCTCAAGGGCAGTGGAAGTGTCCAGTTCATCTGTAGCTCCCCAGCACCAAACATTCAGTCTAGAAGTAACAGACAGGTACTGAATGTACGAACAGATATGAGTAACAAAACTATTATCCCTTTCTATCAAAAGCAGAGTCACTTTTCATGCAATCATGGCACTCATACTTAATGCCACACAAAATATGGAAAACTTCAATATTTCTTAAACAAAATAATGATGAAATAATCAAGGCAAAATGTCTTTTAATAAAGGCAAAGTTTTATTTACTTACACATACTCAAATAGAGGAAAATGTTGATGTACATATCTTCACTGGAATAACATCCCTATAAGCCCATCCAGCTGCAAAAGCTGGATGATACAGACCTTTTAATTTGCTAACCTCAACTAAGTCAGGTTCTTGTCCACACTGATTTGTTGGACAAAATTAAACCAGCCCTGTATTAGTTTGTACTTTTCTTTGTACTCTGTCATGCTGATTCCTCTTGTCATAGTTGCTTGGATGATTTAGGCATTTAGAAACAAAAGTCTAAAGTCTGGTGATTTATTCCTTTCTACGTGATTCTACTGCTCCTTCAGCAGCATCAGCTTCAGGAAGATGATGTACATTATTAAATTATTTGACAATGACAAAGTGAACTAGATGGCATCACACACACACACATTTAAATGGGATTTGTTGCTCGCGATTATGCCTGCTTGTCCATTCAGATGAAAAGCTCCTGTTTGTGAAATGAGCCTGAGAAGTCTGACAGATTTAATACCTAATATCAGTTAAGGAAAGTGATGGAAGCTAACTCCAAAGGTCAGTTGAATATTTTGATGGAACTTCAAAGGATTCAGTTATGGTAAGTAAATATTTATGGACAACCCAAAATAAATACTGCACTGTGTTCTATATAATATATAAATGAAACTTTTACCTCTTTTATTAAGGTTTTAGTCATTTTATCTTTAATTATGATACTCCCTTGATAAGGAGGAAGGAACACTACACATATCTAATTAAAAAATGAGGGTTTCTGAAATCTCTAGTCAAAATCTCTAGTCAAAAAATGAGGGTTTCTGAAATGGTTACAGATTTTAATAGCAAAAGCCCATAAAATTAATAATAACCAGCACTCATTTTTAAAACAAGTACCTCCAAATTTATATTGAGAATCATAAGATGCCACGAATAATTCACTTATGACACAAGGCAGTGGAACGTAAATCTGTTTGTTTGAAAGTCGTAAGGACATTTTTCTGTTTTTGTGGTTTATATTAATGGATAGATACCTACCATTATTACAATAAAAACTAATTTTGAAGAAATCTGAGCTTAATGAGAATTCAAATACATGCAAAAGCAAATTTCCTGCATATCTGAATTACAAGAGATCCAGCTCTTCCTTCTTAGTCTTATAATGGTTCTCTAATGAGTCTACGAATCTCTGCAGAAAGCTCATTTTCAGCTAATAGTATCTAATAGAAGTCACTCCCTACTCATTTTGTTCCTTATTTTCAAGGCTTTCAAGATCAACTGCATAGAAGTAGATTATATTATTGGATGTATCTCAGTCTCTGGGACACATCAATTTCCAAACGTTACTGCCAAGGCCATGTTCAAGAGTCAAAAAAAAATTTTAAATCCTGAAAAAGAGCAGTTGTTTTAACTAGTTGGAGGTGATGATTTATCAAGAACTGTTAATCTGCTGCCATGTGAAGAGCTTCCAGCACATTCACTTTCCATCTTGGTGAGCGTCAGAATAATTTCTAATTATGGTTTGGGGCAGTTTTCTCACTTGAAGCTAAACAGAAGTTTGAGGAAATGTGTGCATTTAAAAAAGCAATCATCCACTCTGCTAGTAAATAAGATACGATTATGCACAAACTGTGCCTAGGCAATTTAGGGGGTTATATAAATGACTGAAATATTATTTTTAAACTAAAGTGAAGACAACATATTCTCATTTATGAGAGAAGGGAAGTATAATGATTCATTTAGTTTTCAAGTTAGATTGCATATCATTAATGTGTAAAATGGAATTTAGGTAGTTATTCTACATTGATTTAATGTTCTTTTAGGATTAACCACAACTGGAAAAAAGCACTTCATGCAAAAATAACCTTTAGACTTTCATAAAAACCTCATTTTGCAACTTATTACTGTGTGTAACTTTGGACAAGTTACTTAACCTTAGTTACCTGAGCCTCAGTTTCCTTACTTTTGACTAGGGTTAATAATACCATCTTTTAGGAATTACACATACTCAAAAACTTGGCATTTGTTAGCTATGGCTATTAGACATTATCTCGATGTTCACTTGTCTCCAGGATGAACATATTTATGCTTTTTCCTAACCAGAGAATAAACCCAAAGCCAAAATATGAAGGTCCGAATAAGCACCATAATAAAAGAAGAACATCTATCCAAATTATACTGCCCATCCCTTCCATTTATGTCCCCATTCCCCCATGTGATACCTAATTCCACTTTTGGAATTTATTACCTTGTGCTAAGCACTGACTTCTTCCTGAAGAGGCCCCTAAAAATGCAAAAGCTCAAGGAAACAATAATAACTAAGCTATTATCACTTTGTAAGAATGAATTTGTGTGGCTTTCTCTGAGACAAATTATCCCACATACTAACAATTGGTACCTGGGAAAGGATAAAATTGCTGTTACAAAGGAGCAATCCTAGTCAACAGGGTAAATGACAAGTAAACTTAAAAAAAGTAGAAGGGCAAAAGGGCACAGGATATATTTCGCAATTTTGCTTAAGAAAGCTTTGTCAGTTAATCATTCATTAGATACTAAGAACCTTTGAAGAGAAACTCAGGAAAATGGCATTAGCAGTTGTGTCTAAGGAGGGGAACTGGTTAGGCAGGTGCAAGAGTGATAGTAGAAAGGCAAGACCCACTTTCACTGCATATCCTTTTGTACCTTTTGAATTTGGCACTGTAGGCATACATTATCTATACAAAAGTTTTAATCAAAAAATTCAATCCTCACAAGCTGTCATTTGTCCTTCATCATCTTTTAGATTATTTGTTTACACTATTTGACATTTAAACACTGACTTTTGGCCGGGCACAGTGGCTCATGCCTGTAATCCCAACCCCTTGGGAGGCTGAAGAAGGAAGATCGATTGGGCCCAGAAGTTCAAGCCTGCAGTGAGCTATGATCATGCCACGGCACTTCCATCTAGATGACAGAGTGAGACCGTGTCTCTAAAAACAAAGAGAGAAGTTGCAGTTTTTCCCTAAAATGTAAGTTGGAATCATGTAAAATCTGATAGGCCACTAAAGGCTGATTTTCTTCAAAGTATTAAATGTGAAAAATATTCAAAATCTAAAGATACAACATTATTAGACAATTAACATTATTTACTGACTTTCTGTATATACAGTTTCCTTCACTAAAACTTAAGCTTCCTGCACACAGGGCTTCTACTTTATTAATCTATGAGGCCCCATTGAGGGAAACACTGAACTTTCACAAGAATACTTTCTTGAATTTCAAGAAAGAAAATTCATTAAATGAAACATGATGTTTTGATTAAGAAGGAACTTCTCAAGATTTTTATAAAAACAAACAAAACAACAATAACAATAGACAGAGGCAGGGACAGGGAAAAAGAGAAGGAGAAACAGCTGTAAACCACCTATGCTCATAATAGAACTTTTAGGACCCTACTGATGGGGAATGCTTGTGAAACCCCAAATATGTCATAAGGAGGGAGAATTAAGGCTGACCTAAAATCATGAGAACATTTGTTCAACAAAATATTTGCTACATGCCTATTGTGTGCAAAGCCTTGCTGATAAAATGTTGACCAATGCAGACATGATCCTAGCCCTTACAGGTTACACAATGGGAGATACAGAAAGGTAGACAGGCAATTATCATGTCCTATGATAAATATAAAAGGAAGTTGATAGAGAGTTTTAGGAGCTCATAAAAGGAGAACCAATTCCATGCTTGGAAAAGTGATGTCTAATATCACAGTGGGTGGGACTAGAGCTTTGGAGTTCTCTAAACTCGAGTTCAAACCCTCGTTTTACAGGTTGTACTCTATAACCTTGGTCAATTTATTTACTCTCTCTAGGCCTCAGTTTCACCAACTTTAAAATAGGAATTATGATAGTATTGAGTTCAAAGAGTTGATGTAGTAATGAAATGCATGTCATAAATCTGGTATCGTGTGTGGCAAGTGGCAAGTGCCCAATAAATATTAGCTACTAATACTAGTGATAACAGTAAGCTGAGAACTTAAGGCAGGTAAAAGGGAAGAGAGGAGGAAGGAAGAATACCCAGACAAAGGAAAAATCCACAAAAGCAATAGTCTCATCAGCTTCAGTGAAAGAACCTCACTTGATCCATGGGTCAGGGGGTGCTTGAGGTGGGATCAGAGGTGAAGCTGAAGCTGGAAAGGCAAGCAGAGACCAGGTCAATAGGTTTATCTAAGCTCAGTGGAGGCCCCTCAAGAATTTTAGTCAGAGAAGGAACAGGATCAGATCTGATTTTTTAAAAGACCAGCTTGGCTACAGTGGGGGAATGGAATGGAAAATGACTAGAGGCAGAGATCAGTGATGTTCATATTAGAATAATTCCTTGGCTATTGCAGATCTTCACAGTTGGGAAGGCAAACATCACATGAAAAAATATATAGCAATCCAAAGAGGGTCTTGAAGTAACTATCTGCTTGTATTAGCATTTCATTCATTCACTCACTCACTCACTCACTCACTCACTCAACAAGCATTAACACCTACCAAGGCAGTGAGCTAGTGCTGTGAGAGATTTCTACAAGCACTGCCCTACAGGACCCTGCTCTTCAGAAGCATCCCATCCAACACTGACTGCCCATATTTCTCTCCCTGCCTGGGAGGCCTGTTACTCTGGTGACCCAGATCCTGTGCAACGCAAAGGCAGGCACCAGCAGGGGATCCAAACCTGGAGGCAGTATCACAGAATAGAGAAATGTCACTAACTACATCAGTGTATAGCTGACTTCTTATTAAAGGAGTAAATCTTCCGTGACCCACTGATAAGTGAATAATAATAGTCAACATTCATCAAATGTCCTATCCTATGAATTTCAGGTAGATTAACAAATTTATTACAATTTTGTGAAATAGATATTATTATTACCATTTTATAGATGCGAAAACTGAGGCAAGAGACACTTCCTAAAGGTCACAGAATTAGAAAGTGGTGGAGCTGAGATTCAGTCTAATGTTTTTACCCACTATACCATGTGACTTCTGGCAGTGGGCCACCAGAATGAAATGAATTTAAAATGTATATTTCAAAATCTGGGCAGGGGAAAAAATCACTGCTCACTTAGGTATCAGGGAGAAAATAGCTTGAAATCTTTTATTATAGAAATAAAATAAAATGGATGAATAAATATGGTGAAGTCTCTTGAGAAGAAATTGGACTACTCTCATCAAAAGAGTGCCATATTGAAAGGGTTTTGAAATCGATTTTGCTCTTTTAAGTTCAAACTATAGCTCTGCCATTTGGCCTGGAAACACATTAGAAAGTATTCAAACGGGATTACATTCCCTATCAGTTTAAAAGAGTGGGACATCTCACAGACTCAGAGGAGAGGTGTGGCAAAGAGATCAAAGGGCTAAGAGAGAGATCTGTTACTCTTTTGGTTTTCTGCTAATGGAGGGTGTAATAAAAGCTGATTATCTCTGTGAGAAATTAGTGGAATATGCTTATTTTCTCAGACCATAAAGGGTTTCATCAACCAAGTAGTGGAGCACGTGAGGAATAAGCATATTTTAATCATAAGCTCCTTGAGGCATTTTCAATGTGAAGTGAATAAAGACAAAATAGAAAAAAAAACATTCTTGAATCTCCAGAAATGAAAGAAATCACCAGCTTCTTGCAACGCCATTGGATGCCAATAGCAACGGAGTCTTGAGCCTGGGCTCTTAACTGGCATTGAGAAGAATCCCAGGCCAGATGGCATTTTAAAATCCAATCTTACTCTATTTGTCTCTCCCCACTAACCTACATTGCACTTAAAGCCATCAGCCATTTCACAAGCTGCAGCATTTCAAAGTAGTCACAACCCTTGAGAACAGAAAAGCTCTCTTAATTGCTGTGAGTTTAAAAATACAGAGAATTAAAATTATGGAATTTGTGAAACAATCATCTCTAATTAAACACGCTCGCTAGCACACACACCCAACAAGGCCCAGAGAGTAGAGCTTTTCAAACCTAACCCATTCATGCACGCATTTAGCACAGCTCACCAACACAGCACTTTCCTTCCATTCATTCACTTACTAGTCTCGTTCTTTGGGACTTACTCGCCACCACTGAAAACTAACTCGAGAAGCCCCAGATCTGTGAGCGCCGACACCCGGTTAATTCATCCAGCTTGCCCTGCTCCGGGCGCCAGGCAGGACTTGGGGGCTTTGGTGTCACGACTGGCGCTGCCCCTGGAGGGACGCCCAGCCTCCACTCGCCCTCTCGGAGCGGCATCCCTCGCGGGCCCCGCTCCCTGGGAAACAGAGTTGCACTGTCGTTGCTGCCGTTTAATTTTCACAAATAAAAATGCCCGTGAGGCGGACTCCCCCGCCCACCATCCTGCCCGAGACCGAACCACCACACTGAATCCCATCCTCCAGAAGGCTGCTGGAAGCCAGGAGGTGTGAACGATGAACTTCTCTCTGACTCTGACTCTCTCTCACTCTCACACACACACACACACACACACACACACACTCGCTCCCCGACGGGAAGTTGTGAACTAGCCCAAGGGCCACTGCCGCGACTCCCCAGGAAAAGCGGCTGCCGGCGGCGGGGGAGGGCCCGACGCGCGCCCCGGCCGCGCCCCTAGAGTCGCGGGGCGGGCAGTTACCTCCTTCCTCCGGCTCGGCGCCCCGGGTCGGGTGATGAGGGCCGTCTCCTCGCACACCACGGCCACGTCCTCCACGAACACGCAGTCCGGAAGGCTCTCGTCGGCCGGCAGCTCCACCACCTGCAGCCCCAGCTTGCTGCCCAGCACGCCCACGTAGAGCTGGTGCTGCCGTTCCGCGCGGGCGACGTCCACCTCCTCGCCCTTGGTGCTTCTCAGCGCGTGCTGGCCGAGCGACTCGGGCATCGCCCGCACCACTGCGTGGGTGGCCCGGCCGAAGGCGGCGGGGTGGCCGAGCCCGGCCATGGCTTCGGGAGGTTTAGGGGTGGCGGCGGCGGCAGTGGCGGTGGCCGGGTCCTTCCGCGGGCAGCGCGCGCCGAACCTGCGAGCGCCCGGCGGCTCCCCTTGGCAGCCGATGAATGTGGTGCAGGAAGAGCCCAGCTCGCGCCCGGAGCCCTGCCCGCGCGACTGAGCATGCCCAGAGCTCCGGGCGCTGGCCCGCGCGCAGCCCGCGCGCCCACTCCGGCGCTCACAGGTCTCGCGCCAGCCCAGGCGGGAGTTGTAGCGGCGAGCGCCGCCCGAGGAGTGGGGCCGGGGGAGGCGGCCGGGGAAGCAGCGACGGCGGGAGGTCTGCGCAGGCGGGGGAGCTAGGCGAAAAGCCTCCCCTACTCCGACCTGGCGGTACCTGTGTTCTGTCGCAGGTGCACGCTTCCCATCGTTCCCAGCGCGGACTTGGAGAGCCGGCCTTGGTCTGGACAGAGCGGCCGGAGGGCTTAGTGCTCTTTACTGGAACAGTTTCAACCTCACTTTCTTACAAAGTCTAGTCCACTTTTGAAGAGCTATAATGGCTTACAGATTCTTCATTTTGAGCTTAAATCCCACGAGTCCCAGTTCTGTTTTCTGGCCTTACCTAAAGTGCAAGGTTTTTGTTTTGTGTGTGTGTTTGCGTGTGTGTTTTTCACAAAACAGCATTCACATATCTGAAGACATTTCTAATTATCTGTGCTGCCTAACACCATCCTCTAGCCCCCACCCTAACCCCCTCCAGTCCTGGAGCCCAAATCACTGAAAAATAACTAGTGATTTGGTTTCCAAGTCCCTTCAACTTTCTGGTCAGCTTCTTTTTGATACACACCAATTTGCCTGTATCCTTTTAAAATCATAGTATCCGGAAAAGAAACAATTCTTCCTGTGTGGTCTGACAAGCACAGGCTACAGCAGCACCCTTGTTCCAGATGCTGGGCCTCTAAGAACACTGCCTAAGCCTGCATTCACTTTTCTGGTAGTCTAGGGCCAAGGCCCAGGCTACAGCCTTCTTGCCATAACTCTGATCCCAGCTTTTAGGAAATGCGGATTTCTAGGAGCAGGTCTATCCTAGAATGGTTGCAGCAATTGAGCCCAGAGATGTGATCTCCTTCTCTTCCCTCCCACCAGGGTGATGTGAATTTATAAATGAGTTTCAAAATTCTCAGCTTCAAATTTGAGTTTTGTTTTGTTTTGTTTCAGAGTTTTGCTCTTGTTGCCCAGATTGGAGTGCAATGGTGCGATCTCGACTCACTGCAACCTCCACCTCCCAGGTTCAAGCAATTCTACTGCCTCAGCCTTCTAAGTAGCTGGGATTACAGGCATGTGGCACCACACCTGGCTAATTTTGTATTTTTAGTAGAGATGGGGTTTATCCGTGTTGGTTAGGCTGGTCTTGAACTCCTGACCTCAAGTGATCTGCCCGCCTTGGCCTCCCAAAGTGCTGGGATTACAAGTGTGAGACACCGTTCCCAGCCTATTTATTCTTATTATATATTGTTTATTTAGTTCCCAGGTTAAATTAAGTATAGGACTTCATTCCACCCTTTACTGCATACTTTATCAGACATTAAGGCTCCATCTATCTCCAGCTGGCCACCATCTAGCAATCTTCAATCATGCCTGTGCCTTGTTGGAGCCTGAATACTTCACCTACTGCTCCGTGTACCACTTCACCTACTGAGCCTAAATATGAAGAGGGCTCTGTGTACCACGCTCATGTCAGTCTAGCAGCCAATAACAACCTGATGTTAGCCATGTCTTTCCATACTAAAAAGTATGGGTAGCTGTTCTTTTATATCTAATTTTGTAGTTATCCCTATTAAATGTTATTTGCTTCTTTCTTACTTGTTTAGTTTTGACACTGTCATCTCGTGCATTATTTATTACTTCTACTTTGTGCCATCTGAAATTTGATAAGCATGCCTTCTTTCTTCTCTAAGCAGTTGTCAAAAACTGGTAGAATGTATGTATTAGTAAAAAAGAAAAATAAACATACCAAATCCAGTAGATGATAGTTTACAGGCCTTCACGCTTCAGCAATGAAGGACTGTTTTTAGAAAAATGGACTTTATTAAACTTAATACATTGATATGTTCATTTTTCCCTTGAATATTTATGGAAAATTCCCAAGGCACACCACCATGCTATGCACTTCAGAGTCACACAAGAAGCAAGCACAAAGACATGATCCTTACCTTGAAGAGCTCACAATCTCACTAGGAAAACAAAACATCCAGAATTGGAGCTGTGGTAAATGCACATGAGAGGTATAGATAACAAAGTGCTACAGGAAGGTGAGGGAAAGAGAGATCTCTATGGCTAGTGGGAGTGGAAGAAAGCTGCCTGAAGGTGCTTGGACTTGGTTAGGCCTTGAATAATTTTTGGATGTGAGTAATTGAAGGAGAGAATGAGAATTCCAAAGGAAAGGCATTTTTAAGGGACAGTAGGTAAATCAATTTACATATCTATAGCTGCTGTAACAAAACAACTCTAACACATATAATGGCACAAAGTTGATAGATACTTATCTCCTGTTCACTTAAAGTCTAACTCAGATGTTCCTGATTCTTTCTGTGCTCTTTTTTTTCCAAGCAATATCCAGGGATCCAGCCTTCTTCTATTTTGTGGCTGCAACCCTTCAACATGTGGCATCCAAGTTTACTGTGCTCTCTGTGTTAGTCAGTTCTCATGCTGCTAATAAGGACATACCCAAGCCTGGGTAATTTATAAAGGAAAGAGGTTTAATGGACTCACAGTTCCACATGGCTGGGGAGGTCTCACAATCATGGCAGACGATGAAGGAAGAGCAAAGAGACGTCTTACATGGTGGCAGGCAAGACAGCTTGTGTAGAGGAACTCCCCTTTATTAAACCATCAGATCTCATGAGACTTATTCACTACCACGAGAATAGTACAGGAAAGATTTGCAACCATAATTCAATTACCTCCCACCTGGTCCCTTCTACAATATTTGGAATTATAGGAGCTGCAGTTCAAGGTGAGATTTGGGTGGGAACACAGCCAAACCATATCATTCTTCTTCCTCAAACTGAAAGAACAGGAAAGAACATACAGCACTGCATGTGAAAGGCTTAATGGGTCAGCCCTGGAAGGGATGCATATAACCTCTGCTCCCATTCTTCTGGCTAAAATTCTCCCACCCAGCTACAATAACCATGAGAGAGGCCTGGAAAATACAGTCTTCTGTAGGCCCAGAAAGAAAAGAAAACAAGAGGTTGGAAAAACAGCTAGCTGGTGTCTGCCCCCACAGAAGTAGTGGGGAAAATTGGAAAACAAAAGTGAGCTAAGCCTTCATCACATAAGCTGTGGAGAGGCATATGGTGTGGAAATTAAGAGCATAGCTTCTGGAGCCAGACTGAGGCTCTATTTCCTTGTTGCATGATCTTAGGCATATTACTTAAAATGTTACTTTGCCTCAATTTCATTGTCATCTATAAATGAGGAGTAATGAATGAATTATCATAGAGTTATTATAAACATTAATATTGCAAAGTGCTTAAAACATGTATAGAGAAGTAAGAAGAGCCTAATAGATGCTCAGTAAATATTATGCATTGAGAGGTTTTGAACAGAAAGCTTTTCACATGGTTTCCTACTGAAGGCCAAACCACACATGCACATTCATTGAATTATCAGAGTCATATAGTTACTTGAAGGTATGCTTTCCAATAGAACTAGTGGCCTTCCTAGGTTAACAGACCAAATCTCAACCACAAGTATAATCATAGATTCAATAAATATTTATTGAACCCTGGTTATATGCCAGGTATTGTGCTAGGCACTGGGGATGTAATTATGAATGATAATGTATGGCTATGGTCAAATTGTTCCTTTTGCTCTTCTGGACATTTCAAGACCTTTATAATCAATTTCCTTTAAATTCCCTCTGTTCAACATACCTAAAGCTATTTCTGTTCTGGTTGGATGTTGATTAACATGGGCAAGTTTCTTTTCCATTGATAATATTGCTAGAACCTAGCTTTATTTGAAGTCAATTTTAGATAGTGAGTATCTGAGGATTAACACAGACATTCCTGTCTTGCTCTTTTCTTACTCCATTTTAGGAGAGACAAGATTTACTTTCATAGGTGAT